TATTACACAGACATGGCTGATTAAATTATCCCTTCATTGGTGATTAACACAATCTCCAGTCCCTCTCCCCTTTCTGGAATTTAGGAGACTGAAAGTTCCCAGCTTTTAATCATGGTTTGGTCTTTCCGGTAACCAGCCCCCATCCTGAAGCTACTAGAGGCCTGCCTTATCACTATGGGAACTCCAAACGTCTTAGGAGCTTTGTGTCAGGAACCAGGGACAATGATAAAATATTTTATCATACCATATTTGTGCACAAAGGTGGCACACTGCTTTTGAAACCTTGATGAGTACAGACCATAAAAAATCATTTAGAAGTTATGTCTGCCTCTTAAGAACTTAATTACCTTTGTCTCCTTAAGAATTGTCTATAAGGCAAATGCAAATCAAGTATCTACTTATTCCTGGAAAAACTTCAGGTATCTTGAATGTTTAGACAGAGAAGCTAAGTTTTTTTTTTTTTTTTTTTGTAAATTGAAATGTATCTAAGTATCAGGTTTCTGCACTTTTTTGCTTCCTTGAAAAAGTATCTTTTTCTCTTTGGATTTGCATTGCCATTTATATTATTGTTGTCCTTTTTCCTTGAACAGTTGTTGTTGGAACCTTTCTTGTGCACCTTCCAGTCACTATATATGCTTTTTGTATTGCTTAGGAACAACAACCTGATTCCTAATTTCGAATTTTGTATTTTATATAAGCGCAATAATACAGAATACACTGCCTTCTCTGGTTTTTCTTCAACGTTTTGTGAAATTCATCCATATTGTTTTGCATAGTTGTAGATTCTTAATTCTCATTGCTATATCATATTCCACCGTGTGAATATACCACAATTTATCTATTCTTTGTTAATGAACATTTGAATATTCTTGTTTTTTGCTATTAGAGTGTTGCAATGAATATTCTAGTGTATGTCTGTTGGTGAATGAATGCATGAGCTTTCCCTTGGGTATACATATAGAAATAAAACTGCTAGGTCATAGGGTATGCATATGTTCACCTTTAGTAGATACTGCCAAACAGTTTTCCAAAGTACCAATTGACATTCTCACCAGCATTGTATAAGAGGTATGATTGCTCCACATTTTTGCCAAGTCTAGTATTGTCTTTTTCATTTTATTCATTTTGTCTAGGTACATAGTGCTGTCATATTATGACTTTAATTTGTTAGGCTGGTAACTAATAAAGGTGAGGTTTATCTTTTTTAAAGTGGCTTAAGTCTTTTGCTTGTCCCCTTACCCCCCACCATCACTGGGTTTTTTCTTACTGATTTCTACAAGTTCTTTACATAATCTAGATATGTCTTTGTCAAATATATGTATTGAGATACTTTCTCCTACTCTGAGTTAATCATTCTCTGAATGAATAAAAGTTCTTAATATAGACCAATTTATCATTTTATCTTTATGTCTAGAGTTTTTGGTACTTCCTGTTTAAGAACTCTTTACCTGTGTGTAGCAAAAGATTAATCTTGTCCAAAGAAAGGTATGGACCTTATCCCTGGCTCTTGGGAGGTAACCCGTAAGCCCCCAGAATGTCTTGCCTCAAAAATGTCTTTGTTCACTTGGGGCCTTAAACTATGCCAAACAGGCTATACTAACAATATGATCTATGGTAGGGGCCTTGGCCCATGTGGTATCACGTTGACTTTTGGAAGAGCTTGGAGACCAAGATTAGCAATGTGGGACGAGAGCCATGACTACGTGACTGAACCCCAATAAATACCCTGGACACCAAGGCTTCATTGAGGTTCCCTGGTTGACAACACTCTGGGTGCATTGCCACACATCACGGTTGGGAGAAACAAGCATTGTTCACATAATGCCACTGGGAGAGAACAACTGGAAGCTCTGTGCCTGGTCTCTCCTGCACCCTGCCTTTGCACATTTTCCTGTTGCTGATTTTAATCTGTATTCTTCCACTATAGTAAACTGTAACCATGAGTATACCAGCTTTGCTGAGTTCTGTTTTTCTAGTCAATTATTGAACCTGGGGGTGGTCTTAGGGATTTCCTGAATCACAGCCTATCAAAGATCATGCAGATGTTCACCAGTTACCTTTGAAAACTTTAGTATTTTATCATTCACATTCAGTTTTTAATTCTTTTAGAACTGATTTTGGTATTTGGCATGTGAAAACCTGTGTTTTCTCTGATGGTCCTATATCAGCTGACCACCTGTGCGTGTGTTTTTACTGTTTTTATTTACTCAGTCCTCCAGCTTTTTCTTCACCAAGAATAACTTGGTTATTCCTGGCTCTTTGTATCTCTATGTGTTTCAGCTTGTCAATTTAATTTAGAAAACCTGTTGGAATTTTAATGGGGGTGAATTATAAATTAACATCTTTACATCTGACATCTTTACAATATTAAATCTACTAGCCCTTGAACATGGTATATCCCTATCTCCATTTATTTAGATCTTTTTTGTCTCTCAATAATGATTTGTAATTTTCAGTATAGAGTTGTTGTCCATCTTATTTTCTTTAGATTTTTCCTAAAACTTATTTTTTAAATGGTGTGTGTAAAAAATCCAAAGAATCTACAAACTATCAGAATTAATAAGAAATGTAGCATTGTTGCCAATATAAAGACAATAAACAAAAATACTTTATTTCTATATACAAGCAACAAATATAAAAAAGACAGGCTAATCTTTTATTAGAAAAATATTTCTCTTTAAATATGGCTTTTAAAAAGATCTGTGGCATTTGAAAGTAATTCTTAAAATAAAATTTTAAAAATATTTTCCCTGAAATTTCCTTTACAGTTATTTCCAGTTTTAAGAGAAAAACAATGTAAGAAGTGTAATTCACTGGTAGTCATTTTGGTAGAAACATACATTCCAAAAAGTGAATAAACAGGCATGTTATAATTTAATGATTTTTATAGGAAAGTTTTTACTATTTACTATTGGTCATCTCTTTGGTATTTGAGACTTTTAACACTGAACTTTCTTTTCTTTCTTTCCTGATATTGGAGATCACATAACTGTTTTTTTCAGTTATTTTTCATCACATAAAGTTCAAAATTAAGTACCCGTGTCTTCAAGACTTGAGAATTAAAACCTAATAAAAAAATTAAAACCTACCCTTATATAGAGTTTAAAGCCTGTTTTTAAACAAGTTCTAGAACTTCAATTACTATATTTACTCCTGAGTCTGCAAACTCATAACTGCAATTAGATGCTATTTTATCTTAGAATGATATAACATCTATAAAAATACAAATTATTATGAAATTGCAGTTTAATCCACTAAGTTGCTATTTTCAATTTGTCAACAAGTTCTAATAATGGTCTTGTTATATTTTGATTAGCTCAGCACACAGTATTTTTTATTTATCTATAAATACTCAAGTTCTACTTTCTAAGTATCAGTCAAATCTTCAAGGAAACTTATAATAAAGACATGTATTAGTTCTGTGATTTCAATTGTTAACTCCTGGCTTCTTAAAAAAAATAACTAAAGCTTTATTATTTCCTCAGGGGGGGAAAAAAGGAAAAGGCCCATATAGCAGTCTACTTTCTACCACTACAAAGTAGACTTAAATCTACTTTCTACAATGGTAGCACAAGGATAGAAAGTAGTAGGTGGTCTGTCAAAGCGACAGACCAGTGAATCAGTAATATTTCGAAGATGGTAAATCTGTTGTGAAGTTATAGTTCAATGGACCACAATGGATGACAGGACAACTCTACAATTAGTTCCTGTGACGGTGTGATTTATAATAAATATATATTTTGTCTTCATCCACAGTTCTTGGCTCACAGGTCCCCAAAACCTTGGAATTTCTGAGCGTAAGAACAATGAAAGCATCTTTTGTTATAATATTTCATCTTTTGTCCTCAGTTCCTGAAAGCATTTCAAAGCCATAAAGGTAAAATGACTGTTTTCTTATTCATAACAAGCCTCTTTCCACCACAACTGGGTTTATGTTAATGGATGACTTTTGAAAAGCACCCAAGGATGGAGGCTGGTTGCCAAGGAAACCAACCAGGAATAGAGGGTTGGAACTTTTAGTCCCATCCCTTGATGAAAAGAGAGAAGAGGGAAGGGAGAGGGGCTGGAGGCTGAATCAGTCACCAAGGGCCAATGATTGAATCAATCATACCTATGTAATAAAGCTTCTATAAAATCCTAAAAAGATGTTCAGAGAATTTCCAGGTTGGTGAACACATGGTCAAGGGAGAGTAGCACACTTGGGGAGGGCATGGAAACTCTAGCCCTTTTCCCATACCTTGCCCAATGCATCTCTTCCATCTGACTGTTCCTGAGTTATATCTTTTTATAATAAATCAGTAATCTAGTGTATAAAATGTTTCTCTGAGTTCTGTCAGCCATTCTAACAAATTAATCAAATCTGAAGAGACATTATGTAAAAGAAGCACATATGATAACCTGGATTTGCTACTGACATCTGAAGTGGGAGCAGAGACAGTCTTGTAGGACTGAACCCTTAACCTGTAACCCAAAGAGGGGGTCATGGGAACTTCTGATTTATAGCTGGTCATTCAGAAGTATAGGCAACCACTTGTAAAATAGAGGGCAGTCTTTGGGGACTGGGGACTAAGCCCTTAACCTGTGGAATCTGATACTATCTCCAGGTAGGTAATTGTCAGAATTGAGTTAAATTTTGTCAGATACCCAGCTGGTGTTGGGAGAATTGCATGTTGATGTGGGGAACCATCCCTCCACCCACACATACACACACACATATCAGAACTGGTGGCCAACATGTTAGAATTTCCCAAAATGGGAATTCTTAATTATTTACCCACAGGGTTTATAATACCTTTTGTAAGGAAAAAAACAAACAAAAAAAACCCATCTGAACCATATAATTTTGAACACTAAATACATATTATGTTTGATACCCAAGTACAAAATATAATGGCCTTTTTCAGCTGTGGCTCATCTTTACAAATGGCAGAGCCATAAGGCTGAAGACTATGGCAGGTTTTTTACATGTGGTTTCCATAAAGGGATCTTGGTAAAGATACCTTACTTAGAAGTCCGAGCTTTAGCTACTCAAGAGGATACTTTTGCCCTGTAAAGGGCAGCTGAGGTTCTCCAAGCTTTCTGGCATGCTTGCTTAGCCAGAGCAGTGGGCTGCAGCTGTCATCATCCACCAGAGGTGGCAGGAATATCATCTGCACAAGCCATTAGATTCAGAGAGGCAAGAGGCATAGGATGCAAGGCTTAAGAAGAAAACAGGCTGTCAAAGGAGAAAGAAACAAAATTATCATAGTGCACACAACTTCCTCTCCTGAGAGCTATCAATGCAAATATAATGCTGGTAACTACAGGAATTTCTAACTTGTTTATGCTCCTTCAATATTTGCTTATTCTTCAACATTTATCACAGACATGTAATAAAGCTGGTATGTATGTATCTGTCTCATCCACTGGACTCTGAGAACCCTCAGAATCTTGAACTTGGGTAAAACTGAGTAAGGGGCACTTTCAGTATGTTTGTCAGCCCACAAAACAGGTAATAATAATGTTAATTTATACACATCACACATTTTGGGTTGACTTTTCAAAACACCTTAGCAACTGGGTACGAAAGTAACTTGTCGTTGAAATGGTGTTAATTTTTCTATTTTTGCACGTATTATTTTCTTTGCTGAAACAAACGAAAAAAACCCCTAAGTATTAAAAATTTACTAAGAGAAAAACGTGCCTCTGGGTTAGCCTAGCCAATAACACAGCATGTTAATTTGAATTAATATGAATCATAAATTATAGGTTGCAGTTGCATTTGAGCTAAGTTGCATTGTTCTGAACAAGTCAGAAAACTATATAATTCCATTATCACAACAAAATCATAATTTGGGTGTTTGAGTTTTATACATCCATTGAAGCCAAATGTTTGCTATTGAACCTGTCCTAAAAAATATCTGTGTAGAGTTATTGATTTAAAATACAATAAAATGTGTTTAAAATAAATAAATAAAAATAAAACACTGAACAGCTTTCAACTACAAAAGCTGTCCTCAAGGTAATCTAGTATACACAAATCAGATTATTAACATTACTTAGTAAAGAGTTACAATTAACATTGTCAAGTGTTTGAATTTTAGGCAATGGAGTTAGAAACAAAGGAAAAGATTCCATCATTTTGTGGGATGTCTTAATTGGACTGAGAGTAATATATAAGATTATTTATATTTTGATGGATAACTATAGGTTTCAATAACTACCTTAAACTTAGAAACACAAACATGGCACTAAAGAAAATGGACAAGGGGAAGTGTATTTCTAGCTGCCTCATTCTTTTCTTCTCAGTATCCCCCACCTCAGCAAAGTGTGAATCGTCTAGTAGTTTAGGATAAAAACCACACAGTGATAGCTGATGCTTCTCTCCTTTTCTTACATCCAAACCTTGTGTAAATTATGTTAGGTCTGTCTTCAGAATATATACAGTGTTCCCACCAGCTTCCTCGCTATCAACCATTATTTCTAGCTTGGATTATTACAATAATGTTTACTCCTCAATTGTTCCTTCAACTGTTTATTCATCCACCCATCCAATAACTACTAATAAACAACCACTTAAATCAGATAATGTTTGAGGTACTTCAGTACACAGAGAATTGCCCTTTTGGCCTTTACAAAGGAAATAAACACCTCTTATCTATCCTGAATCTCACTATGGTGCATTGTTCCAGGATATAACTGCCCAGGGCACCTAAAAGTCAATATTGAGAAAATTAATAACTACGTAAGGCATCATTTTCAAAGTTGGGATCCTAATGCTTTCATTCTAAATCAAACTAAACTGAAGAACCTAATTGATATGTCATTGAAAATACTCTGAGAGGCCACCAGCATCATGATATGCCAAGATTTGGGGCACATAACTCAATAGGAATGAAAGGAATTGAACAACATTGCTATGTTAACATTCTTTTTATTCCTCTCAACTTAAAAGAGCAAGATGTTTTGGCCTTTACATCTCTGAAAATGAAAAGAAAAAGAATTGATGTTGAGCTCTGTCAGATGCTAGCAATAAATAATATTTATCCATGAAAACTTAAGCTAAATGATAAAAAGCCCAATCTCACCAAGAAATACATTTCAATAAAGTATTACTTTTCATAATTATTCAAAATTATAATATATATAGGTTGACCAGCTGTATACTAATAATAGTTGTAATGATAAAAAAAAAAAAACTTACCTGGATTGACTTAACATTTAGAACATTATGACCACAAGATATGCAGTCAATATTAATACACACATATCTTTTTTTGTGGCAGCAAAGAATGATAACCAGTAAGACTTTTATGCTGAAAACCATACTACGTAAGAGTAGAATTCTGTAGGTCTGGGTTTCTCAGTAGCAAACCACTATTGACATTTTGGGCTGATTAATTTTTGTTGTTGAGGGTTGCTTTGTGCAATGTAGGATGTTCTGCAATATCCCTGGCCTCCTCCCACTAGAAACCCAGTATCCCCTACTCCTAGCTAGGACACCAAAAATGTGTCCAGATATGGTCAAATGTTCCCGGAGAGGGAGGCAATAGTCCCTGAAAACCACTACTGTAAAGGGTAGAACAGCAATACAATATAATACTTAGACATTCAAAGTGTTAGTTCACTTTTGAAAAATGGATGATGGGTATCAAAATACTATATTTAATTCCGTGGTACACATGTAAAAGACTGTTAATGTAAAATAACATTTTATGATGCACTAGAAATTACATTATTTGCCATTATTTAAACTTATGGGGAAGAGCTTTGGATGTGAGTTTATAATCCATTAGCCAAAAGCATCCTGTAATTTATAGGACAGGTGGGTAAGGTACTTTAACATTCACTTTACTGATCTTTCTCCAAACCCTAATACATTACTTAGAACACTGTGAGTTTCTCTTAAAGCTGTAAGCCTTTTTAAAAATATATTTAAAAATGTATTAAATTCTTGAACACTATCTTTCTTGATAAAAGCCTGGAAAACTTAACTGAAAATATCAGGGCTTTTAAACAAATGCAAAACATTTAGGGACAAAGCAAATATTTTTCAAAATTCAACTTGTATAGACTAGTAACATCCTTTCTTCAGATGATGCCTTAGAAATCCAAGGATTTGGAGACAGAATCATTTTAGAACTCCAAAGATCTTTTCCATACATAGAAGCAATACCTCTTAAATCCTGTTACTAGTTACCTAAATAGTCTCTAACTATGCTCCAATTCTCTCAGCTTAATCAGTTTACCATCACGAATGCTAATGGGATCATTCATTCTAGCTATAAATATAAAAATGTATGTAGTGCTGTTATTGTTTTAAAGCACTTCCACATAAATTATCTAGTATTAATCAAACACATCTACAGGACAGGTAAGAAGATACTAGGGATAGGCAATTTTAGTAATGACTTGCCGAGTTTACAATTCAGCAGTAGCAGCAGCAGCAGAGTTGACATCTCCAGACTAATCACACCAAACGCTTTTCTTAGAAAATCCTCATTTGATATTTTGCTCATAACTTCACATTGTATGGAGTTTGGGGATGCTTGAAGCCAAGTTAAATAAAATTACTGCAAAGGTGGCAGAAAGTCCTTAGCTGTAGCAGCCAAATTTCTTAATCACTTTATAAAGACTCTGAAGACTAAATCTTCCAATTTGTCTGTATTCAATGTAGTATCACTTAAAAATCACCTCTATGTTGAATATACTTAATTGTCGAAAGGTTTTTTTAAAGTTTGAATTCTTATATCAGGAAGGACAAAATATTAACTCAACAGTACTTCTCAAGAGGATGACTGTGCTTTTTACAATCAAGTAACTGTTAAGAATATAGAGAAGCGATGTCTCTCATTAAGCCCCTGTAGAGTTGACCTATTCATGCCAGTTACTAGTGTCTTCTAAAAATCATTGTTCAATCGCTAAAGTTAACTGAGTTAGGACTCTGATTTTTAATACCATATCAGGAACCACCTTCTCAGAACAAGTACTCCTCATTTTAACTATTCGAGCGCTAAGACTAAAAAAAGATTATATGCTCTCTGCTACTGCTAGAGTCCGGGTCACCTAAAACTTATACCAAAACAAGGCGCTATAGTTCAGCATTTCCGAGTTATTTTTGCAGTCGTGGCGTGAATCTAAGCCAACGTGCCTGTGTGGAGCGCCAGACAGCCCCGGGTCCCCATGGCTACCGCCACAGCAACGCCTCGTGGCCCGCGGGGCAGGCCTTAGTCCCGCGGCCGCCGCGAGGCGAAGTTGGGGGTGGGTGGGCCTGGAAACACCAGCCCGCTCCTCACGGACCGCACCGGGAAATTCACTTCTCCGAGCAGAAGCAAACGGCTTCAGGGCCGCGCTGTGAAAACAGGCGGGGAGCAGGGCAAACCCGCCGCTTGCTCATCCCCGCTTCTTCGCAGCGGCTAGGACAGAACTCCCAGCTACACCAGGCCGCGTCGGTTCTCTCATGACACTTTCCATTTAGCTTCGTTTTTTCCGTACCCGCTCAGGAAATTTAAGATGCCTCCACAGCTAATAACAGACGCCAAAGATGCAGTCCCCAGCCCGTCCGCCAACAACTCACGCCTTTCCCACGTTTTCACCGCAGGCCCGCCCCTGGCCTAAAGGAGCGCGGGCGCTGGGAGACGCGAACTCCCGCCAGGCGTGCCCCGCCTCGCCCCGCCCCCAGGCGCGCGCCCCACCCGGGTGAGGAGCGAGTAGCACGTTGCCCCGCCCCCCTCCTGCCCTGGCGAGAGCAGTCCGGGATGAAGGAACGGCAATTCCGCAATTCATTTATTTCCCCCGCCCCTTACAAGACCGTTTCCATGATAGCAAAAGAGAGGCCCCAGTAAAACTCAATAATCATAAAAGATTAACTGTTAACCAAAAGTCATTTCACTACCAGATCTCGCCTGCTTACGCCTTCCCCAAGAGCTTGGAGCTCCGCCCCCGCCACCCCCGCGGGCTCGCGCTTACGCTTTCCGGGCGGCGCGCGACGCGCTCGCTCCGCCCCGCGAGCCCCGCCCCCTGGCCCCTCTCCCTCTCTCTGGAGAGCCAGCGCGTACGAATCGGGGCGTGAGGCGTCAGGGACACGCGGGCACCTCATCCTTCCCACCTTCCTACACTGTTGGTACTTTTCGGTGTGAGACATTCGAGCTTCTCTTCCCCTTCCGTGAGTCCCTCTTTCTCTCTCCTCAGAGACCCCGTTCGCCCCACAGGCGGTCGCCGCAGCTCTCGCGCCCCCAGCGAGCAGTACGCGTGCGCGCGCGCGCGGCCGCGCGGCCGTCGGATCCCCGCGCTTCCCCCCCGCCCCTCCCGCTCCTCTATAACTTGGTTGGCGTGTAGGAGGCGCCGCCGGAGTCGGAGGGCGGGGAGCTCGGAGGAGGGAGCTCGAGAGTTGTGGAGACTAGTGACTGGGAGAAGTCGCAGCCTGCCTTGGTCGGCTCCTTCCCTCTCCCCGTCTTTCTCTCTTACACACCTACTCCGCCTCCCGCCCCAGCCCGCGACCTCGCTCCTTCTCTCGCCCGGGGGCCCCTGCCGGTCGCTCTCCGGGTTTCGGCGCGGCGGGGGCGCCCACGGGGTGCCCTCGCCCTCTGGGTGCGTGTGGACGGGAGGCGGGCGGGATGTGGCGCCTGGTGCCCCCGAAGCTGGGCCGCCTGTCCCGCTCGCTGAAGCTGGCGGCGCTGGGCAGCCTGTTGGTGCTGATGGTGCTGCACTCGCCGTCGCTGCTCGCCTCCTGGCAGCGCAACGAGCTGGCCGACCGGCGCTTCCTGCAGCTCAATAAGTGCCCGGCGTGCTTCGGCACGAGCTGGTGCCGCCGCTTCCTCAACGGACAGGTGGTGTTCGAGGCGTGGGGCCGCTTGCGCCTGCTGGACTTCCTCAACGTGAAGAACGTCTACTTCGCGCAGTACGGTGAGCCCCGCGAGGGCGGCCGCCGCCGAGTGGTGCTCAAGCGCCTCGGCTCGCAGCGCGAGCTGGCGCAGCTCGACCAGAGCATCTGCAAACGGGCCACCGGCCGACCTCGCTGCGACCTGCTCCAGGCCATGCCCCGCACCGAGTTCGCGCGCCTCAACGGCGACGTGCGGCTGCTCACGCCCGAGGCGGTGGAAGGCTGGTCGGACCTGGTGCACTGCCCCTCGCAGCGCCTGCTCGATCGCCTGGTGCGCCGCTATGCCGAGACCAAGGACTCGGGCAGCTTCCTGCTGCGCAACCTCAAGGACTCGGAGCGCATGCAACTGCTGCTGACCCTGGCCTTCAACCCCGAGCCGCTGGTGCTACAGGTAGGCGCGGAGCCCGGGAGGGGGGCGTCCTGCCGGGAAGGGCCGCGCGAGGTAACCGGAGTCGGGGAAGTGGCTCCGCCGGCGCTCGTTGCCCCGTTTGCACCCGGCCCAGCTGGGCCAGCTCGCGGGCGTGGGAGGGGGGCGGCACTGGGGGACCCTTGGGCGCTGTGTCGGATTGCGGAGGGCGACCCGGCTGGTAGAGAGTCTGTTCTTGGCACCTAGACACGGACGCATATCCGATTTGACTGCGGATCCTTTAACACCAGAGGGAGCGCGTCTTGTACGTTCCCAAAATGTCTCTCCAGTGAGTTTCCTTGGGCTCTTTTCCCTGCCTTTCTGCTTTTATCCACCGGCGTTTGCACTTCGACAGCGCGGTCTGTTCACGAGCCCTTGGACCTTTCTTAGTTCTTAAGTGTTTCTATACCGCGTTTGCTGTCCCCTTTGGTGCTCTTCGTGCCTGGCCTAACTTCGGCCCCAAAGTCTTTGTTTTATTCTTTAGCTCACTTACTTGGCGGATCATTGGGGCAGCTAATTTGGGGACAAGCTGGGGAATTGAGACTGTGGTCAGATTAATCCATTGAGCCCTGCTTTGAGTAGCATTAGGAAGAGGAAAAAGTAAGGAAGGCATCGTTGGACTTGGGGCTGGGAGGATTTGAGGCCAACACGGACATTTTCATCCTGATTCTGTTACCTGCTGTTATTTATCTAGTAATTTGGCTGCAGGAAGATGAAATATTAGGCCAGGGTGAGAAATAGGGGAAGGAGATTCTTATCTCTCTCGTCTAGTTGATTTATTGGCTCTCTCGTGACTTTATTTGGAAAACAAACACACCTTTTAGGGGAGTAGGTTGGCATCTTTTTAGTGGTGACCGCAAAAAAAGAAAACCCAAAAAACTGTTGACCTTTGGAGTAGTTACTGAGTTTCTGCACATTCCCGCCCGGCTTTAGTGTGGTGTCCTGGGATAGTGGTTACAACTTTGCGCTTGTGACCCTTCCTCTAATTGCAGGAAAGTTACCTTGCTCCTTTGCCATAATTGCAGGAAAGTTACCTTGCTCCTTTGCCATACAGTTTTGCTGTTTATCAGATACGGGGGCGGGGGGGAGGATGACTTAATAACTTAACTTTGGTATACTTCATGCTCTTTCTGTGCTGCTGAGAATGTTACTAGTGGGGGGTGTGGTTGTACAGGATTCTTGGTGTGTGTGTTTTTTTAATCTGAAGTGCATGAATAGGAATGTACGGTATTTATTTACATTGCTTTCTTTTCTCAAGTTCTCCGCTGCCCAATTTAGCTAAGAGTAACCAGCTTCCTTTGATTAATTCAGCCAAATAATTTTAACACGAAATAAATACTTTGCCTCAAAACTTTAGTGTGGGTCTTAGTAAATTTTAAGCTGTCATAGGATGTACCTAACAGGTTACATTTAAAGTAGAGATTGTATATTAAGCACTGCTCTCTTTAACAGTGAATGGTATATAAGATTGGTTAAACTTCTCTCTAAGAAATTATTTTATTAAGTAGTTTCAATAAAACTAGTCAGCCTCTAAAGCTTAAGTCCGTATTTGTGATACACATTTGACTTGAAACTTTTTTTTTCCATTTAAACTATCTTTTATCTTTGAGAAATAGATGTTTATATTAGGGAGGTTGGTCCCTGTAGAAAACTTTAGCAGTGTATTTGCAGATAATCTGTCAAATTCTCTGGGACCCAAAAATTTAGTAAGGAGCTATCTGAGTAGTAGTACACATTTTCTGCACTTGTAATAGTGCATGCCTATTGAAAGGTTTTTATCAGGTAATTCTGAGTATTGGTATATTAGAAACAACTAGGACTGATATTTTAAGAACATTATATATCCAGTTCTTTATAAAGATATCTTGGCATTTGATTTGCACTAAGGAAAATCTGCTTTATTTGGGAAGCTTTTATATTAAATTTTTGAAGTTTGGAGTTGTCTTGACATTTTCAGTTTACTTTCTAGTTGAGATGGGCACATGTGCTTGTACCTTCTTTCTGATTAACTCTTCCCTCAGACTTTGTTTTCATCTTTAGTGATAAACAACTTTTTTAAAAAAAATCAGTTATATTCTTGTAATTTAAACTTAGCGACGCCGTTGTTCTGAGTGGGTGATGGATAAGAGTTTGTTTTTAGTATGTGAGGAAATATATGTTAACATGGTTAATTTTGGCTTTTGTATTTTGCATTTGATATTTAGGCAACCTGGTTCTATAGCTAGTAAATGCTGTGTGAAATGTAAATTTGGGGTCTTTAATACCATATTCGTGTGTTTAATTTTTTACCTGATGAACAAGCAAGTTGAATAAGATTTATTTTTAAATAAATTTTCATAGAGCTGCTTTCTTTATAAAACGACTTCATCTGTGGGAAAAATTAGTGAGTTAAGTATGAACAATGCAATTGAGGTTTGATGGTGGAGTAAAACCACTAAAGTGAAAGGAAATCTTAAAATTCTGTGATCAGGTACAAAGACTGTTACTAAGTCAAATCATATTGTTTGTTATTTCTGCTAACTAGACAAATGAATACAAGTTTAGTATTGATGTGGGTTTCTGTAAAACTAATAGCTATGTATGGTAGTATGCGGTATTAATGATAGAAAACCTCACTCAAATTTGGCTATTTGTGCATTTTGGTTCATGTACCTTAAAAAATATTTTTAAAGATCCAAGCATGTATTTTACAGCTTAAAGAGGAACTCAGCATTTTTTTTTCCAGGAGAGGGAGCTACTTCTTGAATTTTTGGACAGTTAGTGACAAATTAGATTTTTCTTATATTGTCCAAAAATTACCTTGGGGGAAAAAAAGTCTTTTGAACTGACTTCATCAAACTATTCTTAACAAAAGTTCCAGTGTGATAAACATACTTCCAAAATAAATATTTAAAAATCTCCTTTGATGGGCGCCTGGGTGGCTCAGTTGGTTAAGCGACTGCCTTCGGCTCAGGTCATGATCCTGGAGTCCCGGGATCAAGTCCCACATCGGGCTCCCTGCTCAGCAGGGAGTCTGCTTCTCCCTCTGACCCTATCCCCTCTCATATGCTCTCTCTCTCTCTCATTCTCTCTCTCAAATAAATAAATAAAATCTTAAAAAAAAAATCTCCTTTGATAGGTACTAAAGAAAGAACTGAAAATGTATATAAATTTTGCCCATTATTAAACTTGCATCTTCTGATTTTAAGAAACAATAACAAATTAAATTTTCTGTTATGCCTTGAAAGAAGACATGGAAGGTACCAAGTGTATGTAAGACTTATTATACACCCACTTTATCTGTGTAAGGCTATATAGATTTGTAATATAGACTTAGCCGGTATGAAATGGTATGAAAGTACGAATCTCTTCCCATTG